CAACAACAACAACAACAATCATAAAGAAACAACAGCAAACACAAAAACAACAACAACAACAACAACAACAACAACAACAACAACAACAACAACAACAACAACAACAACAACAACAACAACAACAACAACAACAACAACAACAACAACAACAACAACAACCACAACCACAACCACAACCACAACCACAACCACAACCACAACAACCACAACAACCACAACAACCACAACAACCACAACAACCACCAACCACCAACAACAACAACAACAGCAGCAGCAGCAGCAACAGCAACAGCAACAGCAACAGCAAGAAAGAACGACAACAACAACTAATAATCATAATACAAATGAGAACAACAAACCCGAACAAGAACAACCACATCAACAACCCGCGAGAGCCGCGAACTCCGAGCTCCACCCTGCTCAGACTACGACAACCACCACAACGACGACCATATCACTATCACTACCACTGCACTTTCACTTGCGCTACTCGCGACAGTTGCATCCTAGCATGTGGCTCTAAATCACGCGAACACAACGGACACCGCGAACTCCGCGCATGCTGCCCATACTACTACAACCACTATTACAATAACGACGACTACTGCTACTGTGTTAAGGGTGCAACATGTACACAAAAAACCTAAAAACGGTGCAGTCCAAGCCACGGGACCCCCACTTTGAACAAACTTTCCAAAATAATTGAACCTTCCACTACCCTATCATTTTGCTAAAGTTTAAGAGAACTCAGGTATAGGAGGCTACCTTTCATGATACGTATAGGCTTCTCTAGTTCTTCATCAAAAATGACTGCTCCCCAAACCCATCAGATCCTTAACCCACCCTTTATGTAAAGATTGCTCCTCAACAATCTTTCAAGGTAGTAGACCAGGAAGGTCCTTGATCCTCAAAAATAGTTTTGCTTTAAGAATCATCAATTGTGCCAAGTTTCTTCCTTCATTATGTATAGCAAAGCAAATGGCTGGCTTGCTAAGAGTATTGAGAAATATAGGTTGCTTTAATCTTTTTTAAAGCCGCGGAGAACCTGAGAACATCTGAAACCTGCTTTGCACTCTTCTTAGTAGTATGGAAAGGTTGCTGAGAATATCAAAGTACAAAGAACCTGAAAAAGGAAAGCAAATACTACAATCCATTACAAAAGGAATCCTGCCAGGAACCCAGATTTGTTTTGGTGGTAGTTTGCAAAAGAGGGCATCCGAATTGTTTAGCGGAGGAGGGGGGATCACATTTTATTAATCAAGATCCAAGGAAGGAACATGCCACCTGACAGGCCGTTGTGATATTTGTTTGCTGGGAAAGCCTCTGCAAATACACACGCATGGCACCCAATGAGAACTGGTCCTGAAATCACTTCTACAGTATGCACCTCTACAGTAATCTCTGTGCCAAAAAGAAAGGACCAGGGAGATCAGTGAGCTGTCGTCCATCAAGGAATGTCTTGCTGTCAAGATGCTGACTTGTCCCACTGGATTCGTTGTAGTAAGGCATCCGCCGGACCACGCCCCTCTAAGCCTTGGCGAGTTTCTTGTGAGAATTTGTCTCTCTGCTGACCTCTGTGGATCTGTCAAATTGGACGCTTGAAAGTGGAGCCGGCAGTGTGTCTTTTCCATGTTTGTTTGTTCTTGTCTTCTCAATTTATCCGCTTTGTTCACCGAAATCTGGTCAGGTTCGAAGATGCAGCGCTGCACCGACGAAGAGACATGGGACATGACCTGTTTCAGAGAAACCCGCAGGATTTCCTGTCCTGCAAGCGGAGGGAAATGCAAGAGGAGTTGAAACAGTTAGAACATGTTATAACAGGTCATGAGGTCTGCTTACAACTGGAAACCATTGGACACGCCTATTTCCCAAATTAAAGTTGTCCATATACAAAAATCTGATCATGGAAATGTACGCTACTTCTCACCCTCATCATCCACCCTCATCTGTGGACTTCCTCTCATCCGTGGCGCTATTCTCAAGCGACCGGACTTGCTCCTCAATGGCCTCCCGGTAGTGTGCCAGATCCTCCCTTGAGGGCGCTGGAGCGGCATTCCTTGGGAGACCCGTCGAGAAACACCAGAGAAGCCTTGAGATGTTTGGGTTTGAATGTCCGGACGAGTCGTCGGACAAAGAACAAAGAACAAAGTTGTGTAGGAAGAACAAAGACAAAGGAAGTACTTGGAATTTACAACATGCGTTACACGTTTAATATGGTCTATAATACAGTATAGTCTGTGACTTGGAGGCTGTTTTGGGCCATGAGATGTGTTTTGTGGAGCGGTTCCGCTGCGTCTTTGAACCATTTTCCACTTAGGCCCTAAATGCATCTAAACGCCACAAAATAAACCACTCCAACTCCAACATGGAACTTCTTGTAACATTCATGCGTCGGTCGAGAAGGGAGGCTCTCCGAAGGGTTCAACAGGTTGTGCTGAGCTTGCATAGTCTATGTTCGCAGGGCCACTGGTGAAAAGCTTGCACGCTGATGTTTGAATGGCTATCTTAGGCAGCGAACAAATTGAGAACATGTTCGTGCATGTTGAGTCTTTGCAAAGGCTCTCAATGATGAGCTTTCTGTGAGGCATATATACGTATGCAAACTGCTTGTAGCCGTGGTCATGATTCTTGGGCATGCGTGAAAAAAGCATGTGGATGTGCTCGAAACCCTATGTTTTTTTGCAATGGAAAACTGAGTTTGTTCGCTTTACACTGTTAATTAAAAAAAAAATGTATTCTGAGGGTTCGAAATGAGGTCCGAGGTGAGTCGCGTGGTTTGTGCTTTGTTACAGCGACCACAATGCCTGTTGGACACATTCGGACGGTGCACCGAGGCCGTTCCCTTTTTGAATGAAAGAGGGCAAATGCATCCCGAACACTTTCTAGACCAGGCCTTTTGTGTCGATGATTTGCAGGTTTGTTTTGATGTTCAATGTTGTGAAGCCGATGACAATGTTGATTGTGAAGCCGATGATCTTGTTATGAAGCCGATGATCAAGTTATGAGGCGGAGGATGGGTGCTGCCCCAATTTCCCCATCCCCACACCCCCCACCCCAATTTAATCACATTGTCATCCGATGACAATGTTGTAAAACCGATGATCATGTTGTGATACTGTTGCGATACCGATGATAATGCTATGAAGATGAAACCTTCCCGGAGAACACCCCGTCCCGCGGGTCAATCGTTTGCAGGAGTTCCAGGTGAATTAAGGTGAATTAACCAAACATGCCTGTGTCTCAAAAGTTTTCGTCCTCTTTAAGGTTCTTCCTTCATTTCAGTTGTGTTTTAGCGCTACTACGGACCCGCAAAGCGTCTGCAGTTTCACCTTGATGTTGGAGATGGCCCTCAGCCACAACTTCCGTTCAGCGATGGTCCGCGCACTGAAGTCATGGCCATTGATGCAGAAGCAAGTGCAGGAGACACCCACCTTCTCAAAGCAACTGCTGGCCACTGAGAGCCAAATCTCCTGGGATTTCTTCGGTCCAAGGGAGGGAAACATGTGTGTCGAGGTGAAGAAGGCATCAGGCCGATGCCAGGTGGAAGCCCTAGCAAGGGAGAAACAGAATCTGGCCCACATGAATGATGTAGACTGTAGACAGTTGAATAGGAACACCAATAGAAAGACTTTACCTTCGAAATGGGTTGGATCGATTTATGAATCAACTGTTTACCCTTAGGGATCCACATAACGTCCGGTCATCGTGTCTCCACTGCCGGTGCAGGGGTCGGGTCCAACCAGAGCCGCGGACCGGTCGGGAACGACCGGAACGGCGGTCCGGGATGTCGATCGGTTGAGGAATGCAATGCATTGGCTTCATGTTGGAATTTCCATTGGAATTCATCAAATGAGATTCTTCAGATTGTTTTGAAGCCGAATCAAGAACTGGAGGGTCCAGTTCCACAGCGCCAAGAGATGTTCCTTTTAACTTGGGAGATGTATCAGGCGGGTCATGGCACGTGAGGCCGGCCAGTTACCATTTCCCAAGGTCACTGGGTTCGAGTCGCCAATGGAAATGAGCCAGTTATGGAAACGCCCCAGTAATGGTTCACGTCCCATGGCTTCTTATGGAAATGACAAGACGTTCCGAGTCGCCATAGCCAACCGTTGGCATTGCTCGTTCTCATAGAAGGCCAAACGTGCGAGGTCGCTCCCTCGCGCGTGCGCGGAGAGCTCACCATACAGGACCTGAGCGTGAGGTTTCAGGCATTTGTTAAGGTGTTTATGACACTTTGTGACTTCGTCTATATGTCAGAAGTCCTGGCTCAAAGACAGCCTTCCCAACATGGCAAAGAAAGCCTTATAATATTTAGGCATCACTTCCAAACTGGAAAAATATCTTGTGAGGTGCATCGTTGGCAGAATCCAAGCATCTGTAGCGACATCGTCCCCCGAATGGTAGATCACGTAGCCCGCCATCAAGCGCCGGGCCGTCACGGCAGCCGCACAAATGGGCTCGCAGGAGATGCTGAAGGGCGGGAATAAGGACTGGGTGACCAGGTGCACCTCACGGACACCGCGGCACACACCGAAGTGCCACAGTGTTCGACGGGCGGATCGGTCCGAGAAAAACCACGGTGTCCAGTCCGGGTGTCCAGTCCGCGTGGTTCCACGCCGGGTGGAATTCACGGAGGTGTGGGAGGGACGAACGCGGTTCCTGGTGGATGAGAAAGCCTAAGCTGTTGACCTGACGAGTTCTATTCTCAACATGTGGGACTTGGTGGGTCCGAACCTGTGGTTGGGACCTGGTAGGTCCGAACCAGTTGGTCACACCTTGAGATGTTCAGAACATGCCGCCAGCGAGCACCATGACCGAAAGGTGATGATCGATTAGCACTAGTACCAGGTGCAATACCAGAAAAGCTTGTCTGTATACCAAAAGATTAAGTGGTCTGTCAGATTCTACTTCAATCTTTCAGCGTCAGGTACATGATGTGGACCTCCAGTTCATCTCCTCGAGACCCGACCCGAACCAAACGAATATGAACATGGGGCCCCAAATTTGGTAGAAGGTGATCCACAACTGTCCTATCAACTTCCTGGTCTGATCTATGCACCAAACCATGTCTTTCCTCTCGAGTCGACATGGTGTCTTATCGATTCATCCTCAAGTCTGAACGACTCTTGGGGGGGAACAACAAAACAAACACAAACAAATGAAACAGAGTTTCCACCAGTTCCCTGGGGTACTGATTGCAGGGGCCCAAGGATGTCTGCGATCCACTGAAAGAAACAGCTTGCGCATATACTGATCATGTCACGTTACATGTCTGTGTTCTGGCCAGAGATCTACCGCCCTTTTCAGGCGAAAGTGACCGCGCTGTTTCGTTCCACTGAGGGGCCACGGTCACCCGTCCCTGGCCGACGCCAAGGCACGGCCCGAGCCACGTCTTCCACCCAGGCCTGGCGCTCCGTCTCCGTGTCCTCACCCGAAACGCCGAAGAAGTAGCAGAGGTTCTTCACAAAGAAGAAGATCTTGAAAATCTTCAGGGAGACTAACCTGCAGATGGGAGGATGATGTCCGTAACCTTGAGCAGACTAGCCCGCAAATGGGAATCAAATCTTTAGGGAGACTATAACCTGCGGATGGGATGGGAGGATGATTCACTACCTTGGACCTTCAGGGTCAGTGACAGCCAGCGATCCACAGCGATCGAGTTGCGTGGGGACTCCACAATCAAACTCAGCTTTATCAGAAAGATTGATCTTTAAGGAGCACAGCCTTGGAGAACTGCCGGGGGGTCTGTCTCAAACTTTAAATGCTTGTGTCTTGTGTCTCCTTCTCTATCAGGTTGATGTGGGGTCACGTGTTTGTCGTGTGTTGACACCACGGCTTTGTGCTGATCGTTTTTGGAAGCTCTGCGACTGGGTGCAGGCCGCGGCATCCAGGAACTTGCAGTTGCGCACCAGTGTGAAGGGGGAGAAGCAGGCCCTCACCTCCAGGGCACATGCAGGGGACGAAGCGAAGAGCAGAACCACATATATATATATAAATTACACAGAACGACCACCCCTGGGGTGAAGAAACTCAACTTGTGAAAGTTAGGTGCCCACAAATCAGAAGTGGTAGTTAAAACACTTACCCACTTGCGTAGAGTTGATGGTAGTCGTTGTCAAGCAACAGTTAGAGGAAGACCTTGTGAAAATGGGAATGACATGGAGTAAATGCCATGGATTGATGTGGAATGCACCCTATAATCATGTTCCAACAGGATCTTTGCAAATTGCTGGCACTTTCGTTCGCTACTACTACACTAGATCTTTTGGAAGCAGGGGTGTTGAGAACAAGTACATCGGCACACTCTGAAGAGTAAACTCTTCCAACCATATTTGAGAACTCCCATGATCGCTCTGTCTTGGCCCATCCCCTTCTCGTGATTCCTCCTTTTCTTTCCGACACTCCATGAATGTGGCAACTCACCAAAGTACGTGACTTTCTGCTAGAATCGTACCCATTCTCCAGCACAAACCATTTCCGCACCCTCCAAAAGCATTCCACCTGTCCCCCGATGCCCAAAGGCCCCAACCAAGCCTCAGACTCTCATGGCTTGGTTGGGGCCAAACATCCCCACCAACGCACCAACGAAGATGGCGGACACCGGCGAAACACTCGCCGGGTGGCCTCCTTTCCATGGTGCGTGATGGCCAAGCCATTCACATACAAATTCACCTCCGGAGATGTGAATAGAACCAGTTTTGGAGAAGCGCCTGTTGCGGCCAGAATTCTGTGTGGTCCGTGGGGCTACACTGGACCAATTGATGTTCATGTCTTTGGAACCATCGGTGATGTAACACTTGTTTGACAGTGCCTGGGGGGTTGTGTCTCGAGTCTCCAACCAGGGGAAGCCAAGCATGAACCCCAAACACCAAGGAGACGTCTACTCTTAGTGTACCTTAAATGGTACCTCTTCATAGTAACCACAAGCTCTCACCTGGGTGTCAAGAGGAGCAGCAAATCACCAAGCATTGGTCAAATGACTGGTCCATGACATTCACCATATCAAGAATCTGGCCGAAGTTGACCTGTCTCGCCATGTCTCGCTTTCCTTCTTCCCCACCCATGTCGTCGTTCCGTCCGTCCGCCACGCCCGCGCCTGGACCTTCTCGGCCTGCTGCTCGGAACGGAGGAAGTACACGTTGCCCGAGCGCAAGGGGCGGCCTCGCAAGGACTGGCCTCATGGCGACCGGTCGAAGACACGTCGAGGCGGCGGTGACCGGTCGAATTCGGCGACGTGACACGCGTCAAGCACGTGCTGCGACGTGATCTGAAGCACGTGCTGCTGCATCTTTGACATCGGCATTTGGCAGATCGTATTTCTAGCATAGCCTCAGGGATGGTTTCAATGAAGAAAGACTTGAAGAAAGGCAAGCATTGAGCCCTATCACGACCACGGCAGACTTGAGCTGGACCCTTGCACCCAGAAGCGGCCCATCCTCTCCGTGCGATGCTTGGCGATCAAAACTTCCCGGTGATGTTGAGAACGGAAGTGCCCAACGTCTATGACATCTAGCCATGGCATGCCATGGCTATATAGGCAATGATAGGGAATTATAGTACTTCAAGTCTGTCCCATTACCAGTAACAATGGATGATGATGGTTTGTAAAGGCCTTTCTCAAAAATAGTGATCAGTGATAATTGTTCACCAACTGTTACGAGTAACCAAAGAGGAAACCCGGCTTCATCACTTCATCACTTCGTCTCTGGAACCGTCGGCACAAATGACTATCACTGTTGGTTAGAGTCGGTGGTGTCCATCTACTCGGCTGGAATCTATATCTATGTCAACTCACTATGTCGGCTCTTTCACCGCCTGCTTCCTTCTTCACCTTCTTTTCCGGGACGCCTCTAACTCTATAGGTGCAACGCAAAACGGGACCGGCATCCGGAGCGATAGGTGCATTCCAGGCGGCCCATGTCGGTGGAATAGGCCAACAAATCGGAGAAGCGCGCCGCCTGCATCGGCGCTCCGCCCAGCGAGTCGAAGTCCAGATCGGCGGACTCCTGGTGCGAGCGGAGCGCGGAGACCGCGGAGCGCCCTGTGTGACTGGAAAAAGACCCCCCGCAGACCGAGAATGGGGAAGAGTTATAGAGATATTCTTAGTGGGGATCTACTTTTCAATCTATTTGGGGGTCTATATATATATATATACACATAAATATATAATAGAGTTACATGGAACCTGATGGCACGGGCCTGGAAGGAAAAACATGCATACCTTTTAGCTTTGCACAACGTGCACGAACGTGCATCTTCATTCAGGATCCAAACATCCTGCCAAAAGCAGGTAGTCAGTCAACGGCTTCAAAGGATTCAGACTGGAGCAACGTACTCTTGAAGGAATTCTAAAGTATCCTGAAACATGACTTCCTTCAATGCAAGACATTTCAAGACTCTTGGCTCAATTTTGATGCAGATAGAGTTGCCACACACTTGCTTCGGACTTTAAGCCAGGAGTTCTGAAGAGGGTATATACTGGATGCTCCCCATTGTTCACATGTGGATTCCTTCAACTGTTGCACTGCTGAAAGCTACCCCTTGTCTTCCTGATAATTTTTCAACTTCGAAACGATGAGCAATTTCTGTGCATGGGTTTCGAAAAGTGGGATAACTTGATAACCCAAGTCCAGTATACTCTCAACTTGCTTTGGAGCTTGGCGGCTTTGCTGATCCCACCTCCGCCAGCCAGTCACTGTTGCAGAGACATCGGCAGGCGCTCGAGACCATGGCAGAACGGCGCAGGTCAGAGGCACTTGCAAGTCAATGACTAGGCCTAGGCCTTAGGTGTCTAAAGGTATCACTGCTTGGTGCCAGTCTCTGAGTTGCTTGGGGGCGCCCAAGCGGAGTGTCACTTATCCAAGTTCACAGCTTTAGAGGATGAAACACTTGTGATTTGAACATGATTTGATTGTGATGATCAACTAACCCAGGTGGTTTGTCAGTTCTTTCTATGGGGGTTACTCGACTGCGCAACAGGCGGTGTTAGCAGTTGATGAGGTGACGCGAGGCAACAGTTCTGATTCCCGTTTCGCGAAACAAAAATTGAAAAAAGTGTGCTGTGAATTTGGAGACATGTTACTTTGATTACGGGATACGCAAAGGATTGTAAGACTTTCATGCCCTTACCCCACCTAAGTAGGTTAGGTGATCTTTCAGCTAGGCTGACATATGAGGTCACTTGGTAAGATTGTTTGCATGATTCAACTTTGTATATTTTTGGTTTGACGTTTGGCACTACAGTGAAAGTTCCAAGCTTTGGGGGTTGTTTTTTTCCCCACCGATGACACCTCTCTCACGTGAACCCCGCAAATGGTTAACGGTTGCTAGACAGAAATGTGAGCCTCTATCGTAGGGATGCTTGCTATCACATGTTGCCTTGATCCTGACAGCGATCCAACAGCAATAGCAAACCAGGGTATCAATCGTGCATGGTGCGGAGTTTGGCACGTGAAGCCCCAAGCAACCCCCCAAACAAAACATGTCATGACCTTTCCAAATGTCTTGGTTGACCAAAGCATATTCCCTTCATTATAAGGTGTCAGTACCAAAATGGACCACCATCACCTGTTCACGTGTGATCTGATCCAGGTTTTTTTGTGAACTGTGAATCGTTGATTTGGGTGTGTCTTAAGATGGGGAGACCTCCACAAGACTCTAAGGAGTAAGGAAAATAGGCCAAAATCCATCGGGCTGGGATTCCCTAGTAGCAGACATACCCATTTGAAAGGGTGTTTCGGCGTTTGTGCAGCATGATACATCACCTGAGCGAACTTAAGGTCTAAGAAAAAACGTGCCAAAATTCAACAGTGTAAGTTTGGCGTAGGTTTGGTGTAAACTTACGTGTAAACTTACACCCTGCAAGTGTAAGTTTACATCCCCGACCGTGTAAGTTTGCATCCCTGACATTACGCCCCTACAAGTGTAAGTTTACACCCCTGACAGTGTAAGTTTACATCAAACTTACGCCTAGCAGTGCGCAAAGTTACACTTCTATAAATGCAGTATTTCGACATGCACCAGGGTGGGTCATTCAGGGACAGTCTCTTCATCGAAAAGGTGTCAGCTTCATGCGCCTTCTCAGCCTTCTCACTCGATCCTGTCAGCTGACGTTCATCCTTTCCGCGGAGTTCGTGAAAACGAATCGATTCCGTCTGGATCCACCTTCTGAGGTACGGAGACCCATTTTGGGGCGGAGATGTTCGTGGCTACCACCGGTTCGGTGGGACAGGTTGGGTGAGTGGGTCGGGGTCTGTGGATCGAACCGAACGCCGAGATCGAACCGAACGTCTTTTTTTTTTTTCTCGCGACCATTCTGGTTACAGTGGACCATGCCTTATTTCTCTGGTAGGTCACATGTATTCAGAATACATACTTAACTCAGTTGCCCTGCAAAAAGTCAACCAGTGTGTTTCTTTGTTCTTGACCTGTTTGGGGACATTGTCTCTATTTTGTGGGGGGCAACTAAATACATTCACCGTAGAAACAAGGATAGCTCTAATCTACCTGGTCAACAATTTCTTCCTCGCAAAAACGCAGGGCAAAGTTGCATAAACCTGCCTTGTCTTCTTAATCCAGTCTGAGGAGACAAATGACAAACGACCATGGCTTGAGTGCTTCGATTCGCTTTGCCACCTAAGGTCAAGGCAACTCGACCTCAGGCCACCTAAGGCCAAGGGTTTCCACCACAAAAAGTCTTTCCAGCTCGACTTGAGGAGAAGAACATGTTGAATTGCAGGTCTCTTCAATTTCGTATGTTGCAGCTTGCATGATCACCTATGATCCATGACGATTCCGGGAGTTGATTGGTTAGATATGATACAGTAACATCTTTAACAACACCAAGGCTACATTATGAACAGCCTCATGTTCTGGCAAAACTGCTTCACTTTGACTCAGTGTGGCTGGTCAAAACAGGCGTTGCTGCTGTTGGACTTGGAATCTGGATAATCTGGTCTATATTTACCACCGCCATTGGGGATTGTGCCATCTACTCTGAAATGACCGAATGATTGTACCTGTACCCGTCCAACTTGGTCTCATGTGGTAAAACCAAAGGACACCAACAAAGGAACCAGAAGATAATCTATATAGATTCCATGTGCACAAGTGTCCATAACACTATCGACATGAAGACATCTCGGATGAGGGTTGCCTGGCAATTTGCACCCGTCCATACACTTCCGCTATCTCCTTTCAGGATGAAACCGCGGTTTGAACCATTGAGTGATGGGATATTTCCACTGGTCATGCTGTCAGAGTCTTCAGAAACGCAACGACGTACATGTCCTGCTGTTTTCATTCGCTCAGCGTCTTTGGAACTGACAAGAACGGTGTGCACCTGAGATGAATGTGTTTTCCACCGGTCATCTTTACTGGTTATCCATCAACGGAAATCAATCGCCCCAAAAGACCGTCCCGTGGATGGACGATCAACGTTTTCCTCCGGCATGCCGCTATCAGATTATATGCAATCCAGGTCTATTCACGACAAGAGTTGCATAAAGGGTCCAAAAATATCCAAAAGGGCTAGCTAGCTAGCTAGCTAGCTGAACCTTGACAGCTCGGTCTTGTCGGTCCCTTGCTCCGATTCCGTTCGCCGCCTGCCCAGCCCAATGTTGTCCCCCGCCCGGCCCCCGGCCCCCCACGTGAGCCTGCCGGTGAGCCCTGCGGCGAAAACATGTCACAAGAGAAATCATTTCTGGAGAATGACTTCTGTCAGTCTCAGACTGCATGCAACAAAATGAATCATGTCACACGATGTCGTCATTTCTGGAGGTGTCTTGACCTTTCCGCCCGCATTAGGACACATCAACAAGTATTGAATTTCCAACTGAAAAACAATAATCACCGCATGGGAATAACGTCACATCATAAGCAAACAAGTCACGTCAAAGATCTTGAAGCACCATGGGTGCACTGTTTAGGCAGCAATCATCTTATATAATCTATGTAATATATGGGTGTATATATATATGGGTATCAAACAAACACTTATGCGGAGCACTTTTTGTCGCAAACTGCACATGTTGTCTATGTTTCATTTGGACGAAATGACATAGACCTCCGTCTTCTGGAAGAGGCACACCTTGTTTACCAAGTGGTTGTAACACTTAATCTGTTGGGGGAGTGCGAAAAGAAACCCCATGAGAGAAAAGAACACTTAAACATGGAGCTTAGGCAATGCGAAGTGCCTCAAACTCCAAACAATTTCAAGACCCCATCTCTGATTCGGTTTCAATCACTTTCCCTATTCAAAACATGTTCAACAAAATCTGAACTTTTCTCCACCATTCTCCACCCATCCGTTTCAGTAGGGAAAACTTACCCAAAACAAGGCTAAAAGTTGGCGACTGGTTAGACTTTCAGGATTTTCAGGGACCCTGTATATACTGTGGCAGTTCTGACAAGAAAATATTACAAATCCTCTCACACACACCCAATGAGCAACAAACACACACACACACGGCTTAGGATTGGGACATGTAGCAATTCTGATTCGGTCATGGGCTCAAACTTTCATGCTGAAAGCTCGGTCAGGTGTCAACACGAGGGAAACACAGTCGTTTTGAGAGGCTCTGCCCATTCCAAAGGCTCGCCGGGCTCGGCGGAATTTCAACATGGGATTCCACAGGTGGAATTGAGTGGAGTTCATGGCAGGGACCCGCAACTGATCGAGCCGCCGAGGATTGTAGTCAATGCTTCGATTCATCAGCAGCCTGTGGCCTGCGCTCAGAAAGGCTTCAAATGTCCAGGTACCATGTCCAGCTCGAATTATCGGGTTTCCATGGGTTTCCATTGAAACGACGGGTCTTGCAAGTCGTCCCGCCCTTTGCGGCCTTCAGCAATCCGCGATCAATGCCTGAAGAACAGGACTTGGAGGTTTTATGGGAGGACTGAGAACGCGACCAAATGGTTGAATCACACATGGCCAGGGATATTTGTCCAAGTCTTGCCATGAATCACATGAGCTACATGTAGGTTTCAGAGTAGATGGCACAACCCCCGAGATGATCGTTTAGATGGGGCTCCGTACAAACGTTCTTGGGATTGCGCAATCTACTCTGAAACCACTGTATTTGAGGTTTGTTTTTTCAAGCATGTCAGGCCAACATGGTTCTTCATTGCTGAGTTTGTATTATTGCAAATAAAAAATAATCGGTTCTTGAGGCTTAAAAACCTGGAACTGGCTGTGGCGAAAGCACCGGCTGGTCGCCAAGACCATGAACTCCACCCGATCCGTTCCAAGAATTCTGCAATAAAAGTGGAACCACATACACTGATTCATCAGAACTCGGCACCCAAACCCACCTGAATCTTCAACCAACAACTTCCAAAAGAGCTTCCGCACTTGCAACATGATTTGTACCCAGGAAGGTGTGCTAACTCCGGACAATGTATCATCTTGGAACCTCTACAACCTCCGTATTCTGACTGCTAGCATGTTTGCCACCAAATTTGTGGGCAGTTCAAATACACTCTAGTGAAAACTCCGATTTCGACAAGACACTGTCTTTCGAGCGGTTATTGAGTGTGACCAAATGAAATCGTATACATTTGGGCGTGTTCTGTCTGTTCACGTTAAATTCCGAAAGACTCAAACAAACGCCACAATGTATCATCTCATCCCAACCTATGCGGCATTGGTCCTTCTCTTCGTGAACTTGACACATGTCAGCACACCTTTCCACATGTTTCTGGTTTCTGTAGACTAAATCCACGAATCCATCACATGATTTGACGCCTTCTCCACACCGGCTCCAAACAACACAAAA